AATTATTATATTTAAATATTTTATATAAAATTTAATATTAAATAAATAATTAAAACGTTAAAAATTTTTAAACGTTAAAATTTAATATATAAAAAGGTAATATTATATAAATATATAAAAAAAATAAAAAAATAAATTAAATATATTATTAATTTTAAATTATTAAAATTAAAATTATTTTATATATTATTATAATATATTAAATCATTATAAATATAATATTTAATTTTTTTATTATTAACAAAAACATTAAAAATCTTTATAATATAATATAATTTTAAACCAAATATTTTTAAATATTTTACTTATAATTTATAAATATAAATACACGGACTATGCGTTACGTGGCGTAAACGGGCGTAATTTACTTCGAAAATATCTGGTTTAAAATCACTTAAAATAATAAAAAATAATAATAAAAAAAAAATTTTAAAAAAAAAAATAAAAAAAAAATTTAAAAAAAAATTTTAAAAAATAAATATAATAAAAAAATTAAAAAAAAAAATAAAAAAATTTTAAAAAATTAAATATAATAAAAAAAATTAAAAAAAAAATTTAAAAAATTAAAAAAATAAAGAAATTTAAAAAAAAAAATTAAAAAAAAAATTAAAATAAAAAAAAAATAAAAAAATAAAAAAATAAAAAAGAAAAAATTAAAAAAAAATTTAAAAAAAAAATTAAAAAAAAAAATAAAAAAAAAGTTTTTTTTTTTTACAAGGTAACCGCCTTTAAGACTTAAAAGTTTAAGCGGTTTTTTCGGAAAAATTTAACGGACAATTTTTTTTTTTTTTTTTTTTTTTTTTTTTTTACCCCCCTTTTTTTTTTAGCCTTTAATCCCTTTTTGGCCTTTACTTTTCATAACAAAATTTCGAGACGAATTAAAAGTTTACGACTGTTTGTCGATGAAATTTTATAATTATTTTGTAAAAATTAAAATAAAATAAATATATTATAAAATAATTAACTTTTTATTATAATATAATAATATTTTTTAAAAGTTTAATTTATAATTATTTTATATTAATTTTATAAAAAATAAAATATATAATTTAAAAATAATATAATTATTTTAAATTTAATATTAAAATATTATTATAAAATTTATTTATAATTATTTTATAAAAATTAAAATTTTATTTTATAAATATTTTATATTTTATTATAAAATAATTTTATAATATAAATTTAATTTATATTTATTTAATTAAATATTTAAAATATTAATTAATATATAAATTAAAATATAAATTATTTATTAAATATTATTTTTAATTAAATTAAAAATTTAATAAATTTAAATAAAAATTTATATAATATTTTATTATTTTTATTTATTTTAAAAATATTAAAATTATATATTTTTAAAGTTTAATAAAAAAACGGTTAAAATTAAAATAAAAATATAATTTGTAATTTTTTATATTTTTTAACGTTTTTTTTTTATTAATTTTATTAATAAAATAAAATAAAATAAAATAAAATAAAATATTAAAGTTTTATTTTTTATATAAAAAAGCTTAAAAAAAAGGAGGGGGGGGGGATTTAAAAAAAAACCACGGGTAAGATTTAAACTTACGTTTTTATATAAAAAAATACGTATTTTGACTTTTTTCTTAAAAGTGGGGAATTTGGTAAGACCTGTTATTTTAAGAAGATGTACTTAATAAAAAGCTTTAGAGCTGCGCACGGACGAACTTCCTATCTCGAAAAATGGCCAGGCAAAAAGATCGTCTAACAATATCCCTCGTAAACTCGGGCATCCACATAGAAACCGGGGTACGGAGTACTTTCTAATGTCTCCACAGTCGTGAAAAGTACCTGTGTACACGTAGGAAAGAGAAAGAAGCTGTGACTCGCGAACTCGTGATATTTACTTTAGGTTATAAAGGTATTAATCTTCTTCATGCTGGCTTTATATTTAGGTATTATTGGTTTGTTGGACATAAGGCATATGGGACATGGCTCATGATATAGTTGTTTTTCTTTCAAATATTTAAATTCAGATTTCGTCATAACTACATGAACAAAGTCTACGAAGACTATCAGCTAATTGTTTTTCAGTCATCATTTTGAGAATTTCTTAATGGATATTTATTTTGGGTTTCTAGAAAGATTTAAAGATATTTAAATCGTTCAGAATGTTGCAGTTCAACTCTCGACAATAGCACCCCTAAGGTCATCCCCCTTTTCATAGCATAGGTCATGCGGCTACCAGTCCCGTCAAACAAGCTGGAGTAACCCGAAAGCACTTTAATTTCATCCACTCAACGTCTTTAGATGCTGTGAAGGGTATTATATAAGATTTTGAAACGCTAATGGGTTAAGAGTGAGTATGGTCAGTATTTAATAGGCATCTGTTAGGGTGGAATAAACTACTAAGTAAGGATGCGGAAGTACAATTTGAAATTCGAAATAGCATCTTGGTCTCACCTCGTAACACACTACTGGTAATATTCATAACACATGCTGAAAAAATACGGTATATAAGCAGTATGAGTGCGTTCATTGATTAACTGGAGTTCTTCATGAATGAAGGGGGAGGCCTGACTTATATACACATTATTGCTAAGATAGATACCTCGTACTGTACCTGACAGCAGTTCCCTTGACCACTCATTTAAACAATACATACCCACAAATTGCTTCCTTCGACAGTGATGTATGTTTTCCATCTTACTCAAGCTAGTATGTCTTGGGAAATATTCACTTAGCCTTCGAAATGGAGTCACAAAATCACTTTGGATTCCTTTAACGATATATTTCTTAACGGCCGGTTTAGTCTTAACTCTATAATCAGTTAGTTAGCCCCTATTTATTTGTCTTGTTGGTAGCATAAATACATGTTCTAATACCATTGCTTATATATGAGCACTTTAGGATATTCTAATCGCCCTATCCGTAATGCTCTTCTGTGCCAAGAATTAGTATGAATGGGTGCGCAAGTTCCGTGTAAAATCTGCGAGGTTTTCTAATGTACGTAGTGTGGTCGTTCCTGTGTAGGGGTGTCGTGCTCGCGAGGACTCGTCATCCTAGAATATAATGATTCTACGTTTCTTAATGGCTGGGGTCTTTGAATTGTCATATCCCGGTGGGAGATTTACCTTACTTATTAATTTGTACGAAACATGTCCATCTCCCTGTGATCGCTGATCCTAGAGCTAGAAATCCCGAATAAGTTGCGGTTCTCCGATATATCCTGAATGTCGGCTCCAACGGCGCATGAGTAATTCCCACTTATATTGGAGAGCATCAATCGCAACATGGCTGCCGTGTTCCAAACATCCACTCATTTAGGTACAGTATGTATACTCGATTTGCGGGGAATCTCACAAATATTTCAGGGGTTGAAGACACGGGCGAGGAGACGAGTTTCTCAATGTATTAGTCAATTATTCTGTCGCGGCTAATTCATATGGTAGATGCAAATCATACTCCAAGAGATGTAACCAATGACAGTGTATATTTCTACCCTTCCTAGGCTATACGAATAGCCGTGGAGATGAACCATGTCCCCAAACCCACAGGTTCCCGACTTCGAACTATTGTGTAGCATTGGTTCGGGTTGAAGCTCTGAAAGCTACATGCCATCCTCAGTAACTAGAAAACAGCAATCGGTAAAATATCGGAGCCCAACAATATGAGGCTATCACCACCACCACAGTCCCATGCAAGCATCATTAAAGCAATCCTATTATAGAATAGCCACTAAAATCCCTGCACATCCCCTTATGAAGGAGCGCCGTTGTATGCCAACTTGTTGACAGTGCCGGACGGAATGCTAGATAGGATGCCGCTGCTGGCAATAGAAGCGATGTAGCTGCAAAGCTCCTGGGGGCTCTTCGTGCCCTCGAGGGCTAGAAGGTAGGCACCGAGACCAGTAATGTGGGGGGTGGCCATGGAGGTTCCGGAGATGGTGTTCTAGGATGAAAATTAGTTTAAGCGCCCAATGTAGCAACCAGACTAGTAAATAAACTCACAGTGTTTCCGTTGTTCCAGGTGGAGAGGATAGAGCTGCCTTTTTAATTTGTTAGCACAGTCAATATTTAGCTCATAAGGTTGGGATAAATACCAGGGGCGAAGATGTCAACCACAGATCCGTAGTTGGAGTAGCTGGCACGAGCATCAGAAGAGGTAGTAGCACCAACAGTGCAGACGCTGGGCTCAGAGGCGGGCGAGGAGTTAGCAGCATTCTGGTTGTCGTTACCGGCGGCGACAGCCAAGAAGACGCCAGCATTGATCATAGCCTTGGCAGCGCTGTTGATCGAGGACGAAGTACCACCGCCAAGAGACATGTTGGCGACGGCACCGGCCGGGCAGGATCGGGTCTTGACGTCGGAGGTAACGTAGTTCATGCCAGCAATGACACCAGAGGTAGAGCCAGAACCGCTAGAGTCGAGAACCTTGACAGCGTACAGCTTAGTCTTCTTCGCAACACCGTAAGTCTTGCTGCCCTGTTAGGATGAAAATGGTTAGCGTGTCGAAAGGGCTTGCCTCAGGGATAGGGGGTTTATTACAATAGTGCCGGCAACGTGGGTGCCGTGGCCGTTGCCGTCAGAGTTAGAGCTGTCGGCGTAGTTGGCTAGGAAGGTAGCGCGACCCTCGAACTCCTTGAAGCGTTGTTAGTAAATATCAGTAGGAGTCCCGCGAGTTATGCATACCGAGTGCGTAGTGTAGATACCAGTGTCGATGACGTAGGCGCAGGTGTCAGCACCGGCGCTGGAGTCGTAGACATAGCTGCTGCTGCTGCCAGTCTTGTGGGATAGACGCGCAATACCCCAGGGGGCGCTGCTCTGGGTGACATAGGCGTTGATGCTCATGACAGCATCCTGCTCGATGAACTCAACCTGCGAACTGGTTAGATCTTGAGTGGGCCTTGATAAACGGGTCTAATGTGTGACTTACATCGGGGTGGTTTTGAAGTTGCTCGAGATGATCGGCCGTCAGGGACGAGGCGAAGCCCTTGAAGCCCTCGACGTTGTAGACGTGGTCAGCATCACCCTGGAAGGTGCCCATGGTCTCGTCGAGAGCCGTGATAGCGGCATTCTCGTAGAGCTTGACGATGTACTTGCCCTCGATGAGCTGAGATCCTCGGGGCTTGATGAGGGGAGCCGGCGCGGATCGCTTAGCCGGGGCAGCGAATGCCAGAGGCAGGAGAGCAAAGAAGGCGGCGGTACGCATGTTGGAGCAAGTCAAGGTGGAAGTGCTAACTTCTAAGGGGTAAGGGTATGAATCTGAGTTGCCTGTGAGTGATGAGGGACAGAATCTCTCCTCAAGTCGAGGGCATCGCCACTATTTATCATGGCGAGGACTTCATCTGAGCCTCGATATATCTCGTGCCCGTCGATCATGACCTTCCTTGGTAGGAAAGTCGCAGATCTCCTATACGGCATTAGGGTCTTATTCGGCGATATAGTCGGACATGCTAGATGACGATGTAGTTTGTAATAAGCGGCCCTCCAGGAAGTATTGGCCAGCGGTAGTGAGGGGACCCTGATGACTTAGGCGAAGCTGTCTGTACCTTATCAAGGACCCTTGCTCTTCAACCGCCCTGCAGCGCCAACATGACATGCAGGATGAGATCCTAACGCTATCATGGGCTGGGGAAGCGCGGTAGTTAGTAGAGCTTGTTTCCTAGGGATGAAGAGGCACTGTTACTTTTCCGCATTTGTTAGGAGGGATTGGCGGCGGGTATAAGCTCTTGGGACATCTGGGGTCTCTAAGCTCTCCAGGGTTAAGGTCGTAACCCATGACTTAGAGCCTAGATCCGAACCGGGGATCGGAGCAAGGATAAGGTCAAGTAGCCCCAGGATATGGTGGATTCGGGCGGCCGGTTGCAACAGAGGCTAAGAATCGAACCCAATAGCGTGGAGAAAGGGAATCTATCAGGCAGTATCATGATGTTGTATCAGACATCTGCGCCAAGCCGTTGCTTTTCTCGCGAGAAGTAGTCTTGAGCTCACGTCGCGTGGTGCCCAATGGGCGGCCTTCCTAATCCGGTAATTAGCCCCCCTTATGCCCCCTTATGTTCTCCTTATCAATGCCCAGAATATATAAAGGGCCAAGAAGCCAAGACTGAGCTTGTTTCTCGTTCTAGATTGCACATAGTATCTCGAGTGGAATTCCACGGCAAGTCCAGCAGGCTTTTATATTATATTACAGGTAATACGACATGATGTGATCAGCTCTTGCTGCCGCAATTACCGAGCGGTCGGCATTGACAGCAGCAAGTTCGCAGGTTTTCTCATACATAGAAATATATACTAACTATACCTCAGAGAGTATAACGTTATTCGTATTCATTATGAGCGATCAGCAACGCGCAAGTTGATAAATAGCCTCTATCAATGAGCAAGTCATGGGCATATATAACGTGATCAATCTCTAATCTCTAATATATTATACATAACTTCACTGACCTATCCGAGTATCGAGTTTGGTACATCACATCTTATAAATTACCTACCTAGCTTATATAAGATCCCGTCCGAACCAGGGACTAATTACTCATCGAATGCCGGGACGGACTAAGCCGAAAACTACGGAGGAGTCCCCTCGGCGATCACTTGCAAGTACCGCGCCTGCCCCGCATTACGACGATGCTGTATTAGGTATGCTGTATAAGACGCCTCAGCGTCTAACAGACAACTCGCAGTCAACTTGCAGATGCATGCATCATTCATGTACCAAAGACAGGTGTCGTGCGGTAAGTTGATAGCGCATGTGACAATACACGGCAGCATGGCTTTGGACGACCAGCCCTGAAATCTCCAGCAGGGCTTCTTCCCCCCAGCCTCCCCCTGTAAACATTCGAGTGAAGATCACACCCTCTTCAAGTAAACTCATAAACCCGTCTCCAGTCCGAACGGTATCCGGCAACGTGTGCCGCCAGGTCCAGATTCAACTCAGCGTTACCTACTACACAACCACAACAACTACAATAATTTTGAGAGATGCCATCATAGCTATCGTAAATAAGGGCCATAAAGGCACCTCAATAAATACCTGTTAGCTCGATTACACTCTCCTAGATATTTAGCGCTGTACGAAATGCCGCCGCGTGCATCAGCTACCATCATAGAGCTCGGTACTAATTCCGGCCAATTCATATTCGTTAGGGGGGAGAATATCACCGTCGGACGGACCCGTCTGACGTGCATCATCATTCCTAAAGTTACAGGCGCGAGGCTCTCGAGATACCCTGCTTTCCCCTGTTTTTCCATCGATCGGAAAATAGAATAGCGTCCCACGAGTCAGCAGCGTAACCCCGAGTGCGTGCCTAGATCTCTAGACGATCCAAACAGATCACAAGCCGACGATCCGCTACCTTCCCGAATAAGGTCGAACTCCCAACCCCATGTTAACGTACCCCATATAGTTCGATACATGCATCTGGAAGGTAAACATTTTTACTAGTTGAAATTCAAGCCGAATTTTCCGCATTAATGCCATCATCGAATGTTCGGTATAGTCTTTTTGTATCTTGGGTCGGTCACTACGGACATGGTCGATGCAACGATGCTATTCACATAGACTCGAGGAAGTTGGTAGTTCCACAACGCTTGGGCTAACTTACATTGATGCTACGTATTTTGATCCCATGCTTCCTCTGTTTATCGAGCTGTTACGTTTCCTATTGAGCAAAGTCGGGGAGAGACGCTTCTTATCGTGCATCTAGTAAAGGCCGGCCGGGTTCCACATGATAATGCATTGAAGCCCAGAGTTTCCAAGTCTTCCAGTTACTTCTGCCTATCTAGGTATATTCTCATATTAGGGAGAATGATTCTTCGTGGCCCAGAAGATGTCATGTCCATTCTATGTACATGTGTAAGCCTACTCCAAGATGTCTTAATTCCACGTTATGTATGACTTCTCCACTGGTCATAGCTTTTGATATAGTAAGGAACAAAATATAACTACTAATGATCTACGGAGATTTCTTCGGCAGTATGAATGACAGTACGAATTTATGCAAGGAGATGATAGGTAATGTGGTGTGGTTTGTCTTACCAGGTTTTTACAATCGGAATTAACTGCACCAAGGTAGATAAGGTACGGGCCTAAACTACGACGTAAGTAGCATCCGAAGTAAACGTTTCCTAACCATATGCAAAAGACAAAAATATGAACTGCATGTATGTATGTAGGTACCTATATATGTATGTAAGGTAGGAAGATAACTCGATGGCACTAGCAAGGTCTCACAAAGCGCATCTTTAAACCTGATTGGCCAGGGTTGCTTGCAGCTTTCCATGATAGGTAATTACTAAGTCTTACTTGAGCATTGATTGGTGCTACTCCTTGCAGCTCTATAGTGGGGAATTATCTGACCTGTCGTACCTCGGAAGCACAAGTAGATATGATAACAGTCAAGTTGGAATTTTATTTTAGATGAACCTACCCCAACACACGTGTTGAAAAATGCAATACAATCACATAGGGGACGACCAAGGAGGCGAGTGGCAAGGTTTTACTATTACATCAAAAGTATTTACTCTTAAACTCTTACTTAATACATTAGCGGGTGGGGGGGGTCTATTGACATAATGTCAGCAATGGTGATAAGGTGTGGACATAATGTCGGTGGTGCGCCGCTTAAGAATCAGTCCCCTAGCTGATTGGCTAGTATGCATAATATAGTCACCCTTAAGGGTGATTATATCCAAAATATCAGGATAACCAGGTCTGAAATAGCTACCGTACGTACACGATTATACCTTATTGTAATTGTATTGCTTTCGAAATACTGATATATTAGGAAAGAGTGGCCTTTTAAACATCGTCACCAACGGTAGTCACGGTCACCTAATCGATATATGTCACGTACGAGACTATGTCAGGCCAGGTCATTGTCACCACCCAAGGGCCTAATAATATTAAAAAAAAAATAAAAGAATAGAAGGTCTTGTAATCTATTAAATTACAAGGCCTTCAACATACTTATATATACACAGCACAGGCATAAGCACATGTAAAAGTCAATTGAAAAGATTACGTTGAATTACTATTACGAGATTACGGGCTACGTGTTTTACCATTACACTACGAGGTCATTACGATTACGAATGATTAAAGTTTACTATATTGCAGTATATATGCATACTCCAGGCCTTTATTTAACCTGTATATACCCGGGGCTGACATTATGTTGAATATCTGACATCGTGTTGAATTCCTGACATCGTTGTGGACATAGTGGCTACCTGGACATCGTCAACAGGCCTGGCAATTACGGCGAAATAGACAGTACCTCTGACATAATAAATACCTTGACATACTGTCTATTAGTACTGACTTGTAAGTACCTGCAATGAAATCGGTACAACAAGCCTTGCTGACATTGTATCGACCTGTTGACATGGTCTTGACATAGTGTAATTATGTAATTATACTGACACGTTTGCTGACATAATGTCAATAGACCCCCCCCACCCGCTAATGTAGTTATATAGAAATCGCCTCGTTCAAACCCAGAACAAAGCTTCTGTTCATTAACAACCAGCAACTTTATGAAAATTTTACACAGTAGCTTTTATATCAAGATTCGTATACATTACATCACGTTTCGAAACGTATGAAATGATTTCAAACAGCGGTAGGCTTCGGGAAGATATGAGTTGATACGAAACTTGTCTTTCGTATAGTTTAAGTATATCATGTAGGTTAAGCTACTGGCAAATATTTGTTCTCAGTCATTATATTCCATCATTCACAACGAATAACACACCATATCATACTTCAAATTTTACTTTAAAAGTCATACTTATCAAAGCAAAACCACAACCCGTCAATCAAGATGTCTGTTGATAACGAGGACCATACTGCAGATATGTTGAAAGGAGGGTTGATTGTCGGTGGGACTATGATTGGTATCGTTCTTTGTTTTGGGATAATACTGTGTTTTCACGACTGCTACACTATCCGCAAGGGGGCTAAACTATTGAGAAGGTCGGCTCATGCGGAACAGTTCACGCAAGACCTCGAAGCTCAGACGCAAGCCCACGAACAGACTTCGCAACCACCACCGCGGCCCCACGACGATGATTTCTCAGGATTCGATTTTTCAACCAGTACCTACTCTGGTACGCAAGTACCCTCTCAGCCTACTATACCTGAGCCAGCTCATCGACCTGTGCAAGAGCCTAATGGTCGTCCGACCATGCAGAGGCGGCAGACTGTTGATGATACGACAGGCACCCCAGAGCTGCGAAGAAAGCCTGCATTTACCAACATAGCCAAAGGGGAAAGATCCCCAAGGCCGTTACTTGCACACCCAGATGAGTTTGAACTCGAAGACGTTGATATTCGTAGTACCTAAGTAATGAGGTGAGTTAATCCGCTTCTAAGCGATTGCTTTTTAGCTACTTTAAATAGAAAAGAAGCAAAAGAATATGTAGAACTATCCATAAGGGGTTTAATGTGGTCGTCAAATTCGTAAAAGGGCCTGTTTATAAGAAGATGTGTGTTGAAATAAAGGGCTTTGATTTTATAGGGACGGAACTCCTAGCTAAAATAAAACTTGGCACTCAAAAGTTGAGATAATTATTATCTGAAATTATTCCAATGACATTCTGTCCCCTCGACTAGTTGTGCATATAATACCCTAATTTACTTCTGGGATATTTCCTAACGCTCATCCACTACATCGAGTAATTCTCCAGTTTCCCCAACGCAAAGTAGTATATCATCGACCCACTCCAAGCGAAGGCATAAAATGGCACCTGCCTGGCGATCGCTTTTCCATGTCGAGGATGTGTTCCATAGTGTCTTTTCGATCTTATGGCGCAATTCTCCCGCTTCTGATGGCCTCGGATATGCCAGCCGAAGAACAAGCTTTGGACGGCCATCTTGAAGGCGCAGAATGCATTGGAATCGTCCACTGACGTCGGTCTTCATGGCGTCGCTAGTGATATCCTTCAATGTAGACCAGTCCAAGATAGTGTTGGCAACCTTGATCTTGGTCGATGCTTTGCCGCAGTACTTGAAAATTCGAGAACCGTAGTCTACCCATTCTGCAATGTCGCCGATAGGATATCGTATTAGAGGTTGCAGGCGGCGGATTAGATGCGTGATGACAATATTTCCTTTAACACCAGTTTGTTTGATAACAGCACCATCATCCGTCACTATTTCCACGACTGCAGCATAATCGCATACCCTATATATCGGGTTGATATCCCGGTCAATCATAGTTGGAATGGCACCTGGAAAACCCAGGGGGCCTAGCTGAGGTTTGTCGTACAGCGGCGCATACAGTCTAGCGTTCGGAAATCCAGCATGCAACGACCGGGTAATATTCCTGGGCACGGTCTCTCCAAGGTATAGTATGGCTCGTACCGATGGCAATGTGCTATGCCTTTCGCCAAGGTGCTCGCTAAGCCGAAAGATGTTGGATAGCGATCCGAATACAACGCTGGGTTGGAATCTTTCAACTTCCTCTGCAATATTGTCCACTGTCTTGTCGCTTGATATAAACAGTTGAACTCCTGACTCTGGGGTAAGCATTCCACTGGATGTGTTTACCGTATCCCAAAAGCCGAGATGAAGGTCATGGGGGCTCATAATATTCGCAATACGCTCTCCTCTCTCAAGATCAAGAATTCCTTGCCATAAAATAGACTTAGCCCTAGAGAGCTTGAATTCCTCTTCCCTTGATAGTTGGACAGTCTCAACCTTGTTGCTAGGTCCGCCTATACAGTAAATATTCCCGGCGGTGAATGGTCCGGTCATGACACTAGAAGGGTCAGTTCTTGCCGAGTTCCAATAGTCATCTGGGTAGATGATTGGCACGTCCTCTAGATCTGGCTCATCCTGCTGCACTGATTGGTATAGCCGCTTGTAGTACGTCGAGTTGTCGCGGGCGAAGACAATGGCCTCTTGGGCTTTTGAGAACTTCTCGTCCATAGCTTAGAGATAAATGTTGAATGATACGAAATTGGCAAAAGGTAGTACATTAACTGCAACTTAGAGAATTCTCCAGTATAAAAGAATTTTAGAGGCATTAAATGCAAATGCGTACTTGTGTAGTTCCCAAGACGTGTGCTGTATCCAAACCAGACACTCATTCCACACTGATACTAACATTAATGCGATACACGTCATGGATATTTTCCTAGTCACCTTAATTATCAAACATAACAACTCAGGAAACATGACTGGAGGCCACCGAATAGTTCAGCTAAATCCAAAGGCTCGGATTTAAAGTATCATACGACATGTAAATAACAAGTGAGTTGATAATTAGATTTTCAGGCAAGTACCTAGGTATCCAAACGTAGGCGCTTTTAACCAGCTTTCGAACAGTTTTAAGGGTGGCAAGATTTGCTTGCAATACTTATTAATACCTTAGGCGTGATTCCTTTCATCTCTAGGAATAAATTAGAAAATCGTCGCATGATGAAGTGAGAAGGCCAAGCGCTCAAGAACTAAAATAAATAATAAGAAATTAGAGATTCTACCCTATAATAACCATGACATCTAGAATAAAAGAGTAAAGTGTTAGATCCTCATATCTACTGGAAGTCCCGTATCAACTAATGTTTGTAGCTTTTCGTACGCGAAGATACTTTTTTCGTATGTCGTTCTCGCATTGTAGCACATCAACCTGCCATGATAGATCCAAACTCATGATGGGTGCCATTTAATTATCCACACTGTACCAACGACAATGGCAAGGTTCTCCGTTAAACATAATGACACATTGATGAACGACCTAGAAATTTGTGACAAGAACTCTATATTAAGGATTAGTTAATAGAAACAGCTGCTAGAAGTTTCAAGGGATAAATTCATAGATATAACTTTGGGCTAGGAGTAGTCACTATACTTCGTACTTATAGCTTAAAATCTATTAGGTATCTGTAAGTAGAAAGGAATATTTCGCATTGCAAGGACCTTTAAGTGTATTGCGTAGTGTTGAACTTTGGAGTAGATTTCCGTTAAAATATTATTTTAATTATGTTACTCGCCTGGCCCCAGAAACCACTAAGTTATGTACCGTTTATATAGTGGTAATTTTCAACGATTCGGTAGGATATATGGTAGATTATGATTTAGACTGATCCTCTCGTTATTCAAATCAACGACTGAGACGTCGAACACTCGGTTACTCCAAAATTTATCTATCAGGGTAGACTGGATCATAACTGGCGGGTTGCTACGTATCCAAAGGTGTGCTAATATTGGTAATGATGTCTCATGTTTAGGATAACAGTTGGCAGAATCTCAATTATTAGCCTATAATGTGACTCCTTTTCATAAACACATTGATAGCTTAAGCGTACGGGGAGAAAGGGGAACGAGAGGTCACATAACAAGCATGCAAGCACGATGAGTCCGTAGCATCCCCATTACACAACTCCTCCGTGGAGATTTTCATTCAGCTCGAAACTAACAAGCTGCTATGACAGAACGGAACAAGACCAATGTTCTCATACGATCTCTTCATAGCAAGTTGAGCTAAAATAATAGTTGAGGGTTAAGGACACTATAGGCAATCGCCATGTGGAACTTCAGGCGGCTGGCTTTTATAACATAGCGTTATTTAACCTACTATTGACGCGTAACATGGAAGATCCGTCTTACAAGGGAGTTTCATCGCTAACGACTCGGCTACGTACCGTCTAGAACCACATAAATAATCGCCGGCACGTGGTGAACGACGCGGCACATTGCTGCATTTGACTATACCAGGTAGTATATCCACCATAGGTACATAGTAGGCCCACAATGTAGGCACTACCGCCTAGGTGCACGTAATTAAGGCGAGGAGGCTAGTTTAAGGTTGCGGTCTCGAATATTGCTAGAGCCTAGATGTTTGTTGTCCCCTGACCAAGTGGGGAGCTGAAATCCGTTAGCAATGTATGAAGGCCCACAGAGTCTAGATTCCGATACTACAGAACGGGAATGAGGAATAGAAATATATGGATAGAGGTATGTAGGTAAACAGAGGAAATTTTCATTGGTTCATTATTCGCCTAATTTAATGTGAGAATGAGTATGAGTATGAATAGGTATTACAAAGCATCATAGGTGTTAATACGCCCACGTCGTGAGACGCGTTCCATCTGATGAGAGAAAACAACTGGGGAATCAAAATTCGTGGAGAAGATCGTCATAAAAAGTGACCAGTCAGACCGTTTTTGTGACTGGAGCCAGATCAGCCGCCCATTATACTCGAAATGCCAAGCGGCCGGCAGCCGATTCCTGTCAGACAAAATGTCTGTCCGGCATATAAAATGTAATAGAATAAAATCTGTTACCAAATAACCTTTTAGTGGTATAGCGGTTGTTCGACAATTAAGAGTCTCATACGCTTAATCTCGATTGAGCGAGGCAGGTAGCCGTACAAACGCTGTACTACTATTAGGTGTGTCGGATCACCTGCAACAGATGCCAAAAAGCCTCAGGGTTCGAATCAACGTGCAAACAAGAGCCTAAAATAAATGCAAATAACATGCTACAGGCTTGGCCGTTCTCGAACGCCTCAAACCTGAGGGGGTGTGTCAGACAAAATGTCTGTCCGGCATATAAAATGTAATAGAATAAAATCTGTTACCAAATAACCTTTTAGTGGTATAGCGGTTGTTCGACAATTCCCCCCCATTGGAAAATCGAAAGGAACAAATTCAAGAAAGGTTAGGATATCAAAAAAGAAAAAGAAAAAAAAGATCGACTCGTTAAGTGGCCGCGCCACTGCCGCTCGGTCCACTTGATACTGCATCTGCGTGCTTTTTACCTGCCAACTCCTTGATCCGCCTCGGCTCCTCAAGTAGGTCCCACACTCTCTCCTTTTTACTCCTACGTCCTATTTCTCCAGATCGTTCCATGTCTTCGAGGTCACTGATGTCGTCGGAGCTGAACGAGCTCGCGCTAGGGCTACGGTTCAGCACCATGTTAACCGTGCGGCCTTCCCTCTTCTTCACCTTGACCTGGGCCGCCTTTAATTTCTGGTCTTCCGGATCATCGCACGCTAGTGTCACGATATCTAAGCCGGGAAAGTTACGTTCTAGCAGCTTCTTCAGATCTGGTAGCACCGACTTATCAGGTCGATAAGTACCACTATCGTTGTCAATGATCAACTGGTAATACTCGGGCCTAGTCGGTGGAGGCTCTTTGGGTGGTCCGCCCTGTATGAGCTCTTCAGGATGAGTAGACTCGCCAGGTTCAGGATCCTCGGTTACCCTAGGTTTTTTCAGCCTACGGATAAAGAACTCTCCGGAGCAGGCGATATATATGGCGGCGTCACTATGCATGGTGTGTTTACTGAGAAGGTCGATACTAAATTCCTTTCCAGTTTCTGTGAACCTCATGATTCCATCTAGAGTAATGACATACGTGAATATCCGCCCAACTTCGTCGTAATGTGCCATCTTCAGGAATTGAAGACTAGCCTCCTCTGAACACGGCTCGAACGTACCAAAAAGCGTACCCCTATCGAAATTGTATATACGGTGGTGCTGGTGGTGAAGAGCCTTGTTCAAAATCTTACCGCGTAGGCCCCTACTCCTGAACAAGAGGCCGATGATGGGCCGGAATTCGACATATCTATGGTATAGTTTTTCCGGGACCGGACCGGCAAGCTGGATTTCGTTGGCCTGGAAATCGTACTTCTGAGCCCTCCTTTCCGCCTGCTTGCCATTGTCCTGAGACATAGATGCCGCCGCATTCGCATCATTGTCATTTGAGTCGTTAGTCTCGTCTTTATTCACTTTTATGCCCATCATCCGGCCTATCATGGGTGAGAAGTGCTTGAAGTAATAGGTTGGACCGACGGTATACAGCTGGCCGTAAGGCGGATCCGACTTGCCTAGAACAACAGCACTTACATATAGCCTCGGAGTTAATGAGACATCCTTAGCGAACGCGCTCATGCAGGCCTTAAGAATGTAGGCACGCTTGCTACCGCTGCGTTTCTTGACCTCAAATTCTTTGGCTTCGGGTCCGAAGCCCTCCCAATCCTCATTGACACGATTGACTAGAATGGTTACGTTGCCTAGTCTATCGTTGTGGTCCGGCCAGTCCTCGTCGTATAAACGGCACTTCAACTTGAATCCAGATGATGGGACATTGGCTACAATCCATTCCTGTTCCCATTGAGGTTCAAGAGTCTTCCTAACCGTGCGCGTCCGGTAGACGAGATCTGGGTCTTCCTTATGTCTCTTGGGTAGTGAAGTTGTTAAGGTGGCAGTTAGAAAGGGATCCGACGATCCTGTACCAAGGTCGGCAGCAGGCAGATTCTCGGCGCGGTGAAATGTAAACTTCACGGTATAACCCGGGGGAGCATCAGGGATTGGGGTAGGATCAAAGCCGCCGGGAGGCTTAGTTTTAGTCTTGATCTTCTCCTTTTGCTCCTTAAATTTGTGCTTGAATGTGCTGCTATGAGGAACAGGAACGCCTAGCTTCTCATTATTGGCATCAGGACGCGGATGGGCTCCGTCTTCAGGGGTTGGATGGTCGTCGGAGACCTGTCGAACATTTTTCTCATCATTGACCCCGTTAGCGCCCTCTTGCGACACCGGGTCTTGGCTATGCGACGTCGAATCGGCCTCCCCTCCGACGCGAACAGACATGTCGAGCAAGAGAATCGTTGAACGCTACCTAAAGCACTTAATGCCGAATGATGTCAAGGGCGGTACTTTCTGTCGGGTTGTCTGCAGGCTCCGAAGATAGGAGCGAAGGCGGACGAAACCGTCCTGTTCGTTAAGTCGCAAGATCCTTGTTATGGTTCGTTGGTTCGAAATTCCGAAAAGGAAGTGCGATGATGGATGCCAAGGCGGCGGTCGTAGTTTGGAGAATTGCTTGGTAGTGTGCTTGGTAGTGGTGGTGGGCTTGCGCTTCTCCACAGGACTCGAATGACAGACTCCAGAGGGACAGGAACTGATAAATAAATAAAAAGTAAAAGGGAGCTTATTTCTGGGTCGCCCTCACCTTGCGAAGATGACGCTGGACGACAAAACGTTCGAGATTAACGGCGCAAGGCTTAATTATTGATGATTATAATTGGAGAGAAGAGAAGAGAAGATGGAATTGGAAAATTGAATTCATTTCCGCGACAGCGCGTCAAATGTGTTTTTTCTTACTTTCTAGGAATCGTACATGTATGTAAGTAGCAATGCCGCTTTGCCGGTTGGGTTCTACCCGTCAGCATCAGACATGTACCAATGTACCCATATAATATCGGGATTGTACGCGGGTTACTGTGGCTGTGAAGATTGCAACATACGAAGTAGGTCATAAGCTAACGGATAACTAAAGCTTAGCCGGAGGCTTTGAGCAGATCAGACCAATCCATTGGTAATGATCTGTTCAAGATGCATGTCTAGTGCCGGGAATTCCGTTGATCCTCTCCGAAAACTCAATGCATTCAGGTGCATCCATGTGGCGTTCCTGGGTGTTCCCTGCCAATGTGAGTGCCCGCTTCCAGGGCTGCAGGTGCCCAGATGAAGGCCTTGCACCTTTCAAGGCAGCCAAGGTTCCCCCACGATGCCGACCTTCCGATCTCTTGAAAACAGTATACACGTGATACCTACATCATGTGTGTCTTACGCGTCTAACTTACTATTTCAAGTTGATGATTCGTCAGGAATTAGCCTATTCGCTGTCTAGTCTTCGCTGACATCGCCAATGGTGGACTAGCTTCTCTTCTCAGCTTACCCTACTTGAACGCTACCTATATATGGTATATGATATATCTATGGGAAGAGTTCCGCACGGAAAGTAACAAGATGGCACAGGACGAGCTTGCACCCGTTTTGTTCCTCGATGGAGGGCTAGGAACATCTCTCGAGGACAAGTTCGGCGTCAAGTTTGATGAAAATACTCCGTTATGGTCGTCTCATCTTCTTATTAGTGATCCCGAGACCCTCCGTTCGTGCCAGAGAGATTTTGGCAGTATCCCCGTCGATATATTGCTAACAGCAACATATCAAGTATCTGCAGAGGCCTTCGCACGAACCAAAACTCCCGATCATCCGCTGGGTATTTCCCGCGATGATATTGTACCTTTCCTTGATGTTGCTGTTTACATTGCCGAGGAAGTCAAGGTGCCCAATGCTCATATTGCTCTAAGTCTCGGGCCTTATGGAGCGACCATGGTTCCAAGTCAAGAATATGGTGGTAAATACGATGCGGAACATGACTCACTAGAAAAGCTTCTCAATTGGCATAGGGACCGCTTTCGATTATTCGACCGGATCGATCGCCTTGGATCTCGTATTGGATTCATCGCATTCGAAACTGTCCCCAGACTAGATGAAATCAAAGCCATCAGAAAGCTCTTCACGCGTGCATCACCAAATGATTTTAATACGTCTTCACTTCTCTACGGGGATATCCCATTTTGGATATCTTGCGTCTTTCCTGGTGATGGATACACTCTCCCCGATGGTAGTTTTGTCGATCAAGTGGTCGATGCGCTCCTGAGCTCAGACTATTCGGATATTACCCCATGGGGAATTGGCATCAATTGCACAAAGGTGGCCAAGATCGCCGAACTGGTTCATCTGTATGAAAGTGCTGTTTCTCGATTGGCAAGTACTGGCAAACTCGAAACCCAACCTAGCCTGGTTCTTTATCCTGACGGAACCAACGGCGAAGTTTACGACACCACAACAAAAACTTGGCGCGCACCAACTAGCCAACCACTTCCCATGGTAAGTGCCACTCGGGGCATGATTATGCAGTCTTAAGAAAGGGGGCTAATTATTCATTCAGTCCTCGTGGGAGCGCCAAGTTGCTGACGTGGTCGTCCACGCTCGAAATCAGCAGTGCTGGAGGTCTATCGTGGTCGGCGGTTGTTGCAAGGCCAACCACGACAACATTAGAAGGCTTCGTGCCATTATTCGCGGTACCTAATTAGTATCATCAAAGCTACCCCCAATCAAAATCCTCGTCCGACATTCGGCTATGTTCCGTTATGAGCATTGTTAATAAATACTATAAACATCGGGATTGCTATAATTTCCCCTCGTTTCCTATCCAAGGAAAGAGAGCAGAGCCGGTACAGAGCCGCAATCCAATCAACTGGTAACATCTATTTTCCTCGAGATATAGTAAACCATGTGTCACCTTGTACGAACGAGAAAGTTGCCATGCATACCACATGGAACACTACCAAGACCGCACATGCCCTTGTTCTTTGTCGGCTTTGTTTTTTTTTTAGACAAAGCGAACAGATGGCCGACGGCTACTAACCATAATAAGAACTGAAATCGTGATCGATATATTCCATATCCCGATATACCGTTACTGATCGACAATTCACTTATTTTATTCAGTACGTGCCTGGGTATTTCCTTATGTTTCTTTTTGTTACGTTATGTTTTACCGCTTATGAGCTTCTGCTTCCGGGTTTCGAGCTTGATAAGTCGTGTGAAACATCATGTTTTTGTTTTTTCTGATCGAGGCCAGTCAAGTATCAAAACCTCTACCCGCAGCTCCGCATTTATGTGATATTGGATGTAGTCTTCTACCACTTCTACGGTTCAGTTGATGTACCAATACTAATGCTAACACTAATCAATGGCAAATCTCTTCTCTTAGGGCGCTATTATTTCCCGACTTGAAGTTGGCGTCGGATTTTTATCAATATTCAGCTTCGGGCTTCGGTGTATTTTCCCCACGTCTAACACTAGCCCAGATCCGTCTGCTCCTCGTAAATTCCAGATAAGTCACGACGAAGATTCCAAATGCGTTAGCTATGTAAAAGAGACCTGCATTAGGCCAGGGGTAATAAATGAGATTTACGAGTCAAAATCACGATATCTCTTGCCATCCATCTTGCCATCCTAGTGTACAGGCATGTGAGCACAAAGATGGGTGACGTGCATACAGGTATGTGATGTATCTATTTTTCGGGTACCAGTCTCCTCTTCAAAGAACGAGATATCAGTGGCTAACATTTCTCTGGACAGTTGTTTGTGTGTACAACCGAGGCCCTCTACTGATGTAGCCAAGCTGTATGTAGCTCTGCATACGTACCTAACCTTTGTACATAGAGGAGAAGCCCGTTAAGCCAAGGACATTAATGTCAATAGCGTGAGGCGGGCTTAAGCAGCGTGGATAACCAGCTAGTTTATCTACGATTCCGCCAATAAGAGGATATCTTCAAAATACACTATTCCATAAATGCGGGTATTTCTTTTTCCTCCTAGATCGAAGGATCTGGCGAGACCGGGTTCTCAGCCTGACTTGTCCAACTAGGTCACATGTAATACGTCGGGTTTCTTTCATCATCGTACTCGCCCCTGACCGGTGCCTGCATATCACGCCTCGTGGAGTTCTTTGTCTTGCGGTCCAGTCCCGGCCGAAATTGACGTTGTCTATGTCCGCATTGTCAATCCCTGCATGTTGTTCTAAATAAACTGCAATGATCCGAAAGAGTGACCCGCGAAGAGGAGATCTTGGCAAACGAACCAGGTTGCCGGAACGGTATGAAAGAAGATAATAACTGACTCCAAGAGTCTAGCAATACTTTTCTTTTATAAAGCCCATGCTGTTCAACTTTCAGCCTTTCTTGTTTCCCCTTTCTCTCCCATCACACAGTCTCTTGCCTCCTCTCGTGAGTATATCAATCTCTTGATCAGTCCAACTTCAGTCATTCGCTTGTACGTGAAGAAGAAAATTAGTCAGTCAAAATGGTTCGCCTATTGAAGTATGCTAGCGCCGGCGCCCTGCTGGTCGCTTCCGTAAACGCCAACTATGCTACGACCTCTTACCCCGAGGAGGACGACTACCCTCTTGATTCTAAGGCCGAGTCCTACAACGCTACTTCGGCTCCTTACCCTACCGGTTCCTCTTCCGCCACTGGCTACCCCACGGTCTCTTTCGGCACCGGCTACCCGACCCTGAGCGTCTCTGCTCCCTCGTACCCTACCGGCAACCAATCTGAGGGTGGTTCTTACCCTGTCTACCCTACCGGATCTAAGAGTGCTTCTGCTCCCTTTTACCCTACTGGTGGCGAGAATGCCTCTACCCCCTCATACCCGACTAGCAGCCAGTCTAAGAACGGCACTTACCCCGTCTACCCTACCGGGTCTAAGAGTGCTTCTGCTCCCTCGTATCCTACTGGTGGCCAGTCTGAAGGTAGCTCATACCCTGTCTACCCTATTGGATCTAATAGCGCCTCCACCCCCGGTTACCCGACCACCGGTATCAACACTTATCCTGGTGACTCAACTTTGACCAAGTACACGACCCTGATATCCACGATCACCTCGTGCGCCCCCAGTGTCACCAACTGCCCGGTTGGATCAGCTACCTCCATCGTTGTTCCCTACCCGTCGGCAACCTACCCCGCCGGTTCTCCCTCTTACCCCGCAGGGTCTCCCTCGTATCCTACCGGAAGCCCGTCTTACCCTGCCGAGACTCCCTCTTCTCCGGCTGAGACCCCGAAATACCCTACTAAGGGTAACAGCCAACCGGCCCCCTCATATCCCGCAGAGGCTCCTTCGTCCCCCGCGGGATATCCTTCCTCACCTGCGGAGACTCCTTACCCGGCCAAGGCTCCCTCTACCCCTGCAGCTTCTCCTTCTTATCCTGCCGGAAGCCCGTCTTATCCTGCTGGGACTCCTTCTTCCCCGGCCAAGGCCCCCTCTTCCCCTGCAGTTTCTCCTTCTTATCCTGCCGGAAGCCCGTCTTATCCTGCCGGGCCGCCTTCTTCCCCGGCCAAGACTCCTGCGTACCCCACCGAGGGCAACACCCAGCCGGCTCCTACTTACCCCGCTGAGACTCCTAGCCAGCCGGCCGCTACTTATCCTGCTCTCTCTACCGGCCCTGCAACTCTATCCACTCTCTATGGCAATACAACTTTTAGTGTCCCGAGCCAGACTGCTGGATATCCTACCGGAGAGGCCTCTTCGACCTACCCGGCTCCTACTGCCATCCCTACCGCCGGTGCTGCCATCGCGGGATCAAGCGCTACCGGTGCTCTGATCGCACTTGCCGCCGTCTTCTTCGGCCTTTTCTAAACAGGACTTGGGTTATTTATGACGAGGTGATATGGTCATGTTGCCGTGCGGACCACGGTACAGAAATGACGGGATTATATTCACGCAGAATACGATTACAATTGTACTCTTTTTCTATGCAAGAGATGTTGCCAGCACCAAGCTATGAATTGCTCTGAGAAGTACAGGCCCTCTTACATGACCTTTAATGTTAACTTAAAAATGTAAATAATTTCTTACTTTAGACCAACCAACTAGTCGCTCTTTTGTTGTATGACATTTAAGAATTTCTACTTCAGCGTGATTTGTTCTAAAAGATTTAACAATCCATAGATGATGCGATTTTATTACTGTTTAATCCACCGAAACATTTCCATCTGATAATGGTGTGATGCAAGCTCTACGAATAAGCCGCGATGATATAATACAACATGCTATATTAAAATACATATGTCCATCAACAAGTCTAATATCGAAATAGTATTTATTCACCGTAAGCTCATATGTAGCATACTTCGTCGTACGTATCGAATAGGTGCAGAGTACCATATTACGTAGTATATAGCTGCGCGGAGCCTATAAAGATTTTATGACGATATATTTCCGATCAAGGACTCAGACGTCATTGTACCGTCAATATACACTCTCCTCTTTATTTTATCACAATATCGTACAACATGGTCATTACATCCGTATGATCTATATCTTCTCGAATAAACCCTACTTAGTCTCATTCAGAGTGTAGCATTACCATCTGCTGCCCAAAACTTTATATCAGGTATTTGGTTGAAGTAAAAGTGATACTCTACAAGAGACATCAGCTCGTATTTAGTACCTAGTTTACGCGAGACTTTTTTCAATAGCAGATTATTTGGTTGGGCTATTGTTTGACCCGATTCTAACCAGCCATTAAATATCATGATCATATCGGATGCCTTTGCGTTGTTTAATATATTGATCTCGAGTTGTGGAAGATCAGAATTGATGAGAGCGTAGGTTCCTATCACATATGACTATGCCGAGTCATCGATAGAATCATTATGAAAAGTAATTACTACAAGAATATAACGTTCAGATCCAATCTGCGTTCCGGAAAAATAATATATAGAAACATATGATCAAGCTCAAAATAAGATGTAAGGTGGCAATACCTCGTTTTATGCGAAACTTGCCTGTTATAGTTACCATGGACGGGTTTCCACGTATATCGAGTACTGTGGGCTAGAATATATAATATTAGAACAATTTAAAAACCTGATTATAAGCTAACGATGGTATCGCATATATGCTGCGGTAAAAGCGGTGCTTGCCCAAAAAAGGGAGACCTCATTTGCGGCATCGCTGTATAACTGTGAATGCTTCAGGGGCTACGACTGCTAGGTGTAAGTCGAGTGTTATAAAGAGCTATATAATATTAAAAAGTAGTAATATTGTCGTATAGCTAGTATTCGCGCGTATGTGATATGGTCGAACGGAAAATAGGGGCGTCGGTTGTTGAAATGGTATTACCGGATTTGTACTTGTGTAAGCTAGAGATTTGAGGAGCGAGGACCTACATACCTTACTTACGTAGTAGAAGGTATATATATGCAAGATCTATTCTAATATAGGATATGGGGTTATGCAACTGTGGTAGATGGATGGTGTTAATACTCGAGTATAAACCCCCCCAAATACATTGCTCACTAAGAAAGGGATCATTACAGCGGAAACAGTAGCGATCTACCGCCTTACAGCAGCTAAAGGGACCTTTAAAGTAATGCTCAACCCTAAGTCCGCTAAATAATCCCCTGGAAAGTATCTGATGTCCTTGTGACCTGTTCCATCTTCAAGTTTAGGGAGTGCCAGAAGGGAGGGCTTCTCTACAGTTCGAAAACAACCTATATCGGCATGATCGTACGATATCGGACATGGCCAACTTGTAACGTTCACAAGAGATAAGTAACTAATAAATATCGAATCATGTTTCGTAGGAAACAAGCTTCTATAGCCTGAAGAAAACGTACTCATACCTATCCATTAAGCTTATTATTCTTCGGGAGCCAATACTTACATATAAGCATAGTATCTATCCCTTTTACTTACTTACCTACCTAAGTATATACCTACTCTAAGTAGACTGGCACTATGCAGTTACTCGTGTCATTTACTAAGAATTCAGTACTAGAGGATCTAATGGGGATCGATCCTCGGGACCCATGACGCACGGCATGTTATCAAAACTTGACTGTATCTTCCAATGGAAACCCATCGTCGCTCTCCCCTTCCGCGTATTCTGGAAACTGGCTCGAGACCCCCCCTCTACCTTGTTAGCTAAGCCTCTCTAAGCCTCTCGGCAGTTCCCTCTACTTGCCACGCGGCCTACGCCCATCTTGCAGCGGGATATCTCGCATCTAGGGTGCCGATCTGGGTTCGATACAGTAATACGTAGCCAAGATTGGGGATGGGTCACTAGAACTGTGGCAATGCAACCAAAAGCTTAATTCGACGTATATTATAGCACTACGAAAGAGCCGCATGCTCAAACGAGGCTTTGAGGAGGTTCTTGATTGCCCGATTGAGATGTAGAGTGTTCAACAAAGAACAATTGAAGATGTGCCATATTTGTCGGGTCTTAAAAGCTGGCTAATTAAAATATCGAGAAGCTTGAACAATAATATCAAATATTCTAAACAAATATGATTTAAATTCTTGTCTAAACTACACACCCAAATTAATTTAATAAAAGGTGAAGAAAAATCAAGATGAAGGTGTGACAGAAGACCAGCAATTTCGGACTGGACGATGTACGGTTCAACTTCGGTTTACACCATCCAACACGGAAACGATTAGTCGTCCTGCGGTCAGAGTGACGAGATTGGGAGTGTCAAATGGAGTTGTAGGATCTACTACGATCGGCATTAAAATTCTTCATGATGTTAGTTGTACGTGATACGAAATGCCGCAACTCTCTGCATGGATGCCGAATGAGTAATAACAACAGCTACTCTGCATTAAACGAAAACGAACACGGTTAGTTATGTATGCATCACGGCTCGTGAACTACTCTACCGAAGCACGAGACGAAGAAAAAAAAAAGAAGAGAAAAAAAATTGATTTATAAGCCATGTCATGTCGCATGGCCGAGGTTCGGTGGAGATATGATAGGTGCGAATAGGCGGAAGCGGAACTACATACGAGAGGGAAAGGAAGAGTCTAGAAACAATAGAAGAAAGAGTGGGAAGGCGAGGATAAAGAGAAAAAAGCAGGGAAAACAAAGGGAAGAGTCGGTCAGTTGACTCAGTCCGGCATAAGAACATAAGAACATAAGAACATAAGAACATAAGAACATAAGAACATAAGAACATAAGAACATAAGAACATAAGAACATAAGAACATAAGAACCTTATTAAAGTAAGAATTGGCGCATCGGGGAAAACGTTTTGATTGTTGATTGTTGATTGTTGATTTGTTGATTGTTGTTCGGTGCGACGCCTTAACGGGAATATGGAATTATGGATTAACATGGAAAAGAAAAGGAAAATGTGGAATCGAGTCTGAATTGGGGGATTTAGAAGGATTGTCAGTTACATGTATATCGGTTCGGTCTTCCCATGTGGCCGCTATTGCTTTCTGTTGCTGCAGGTATCCTCTTGTACATGATGTATGTATGCATGTTAGGTACCTACACGATACTACATTAAATACAATGGTGAAGGAGGTACATAATCTTAATCAATAGAGGCAATTTCCAATACATATGCACCTGCAATTAGCTGACCTGATGATACCGTTCGAGCCGGAAATAATTACCTCTGGTCGCAAAAGCGAGCAGCTCCGACCTGTCCGAGGTGGCAGGTGGGGGTGGGTAAGGGACCGGCCGGAGCTCTCAGTTCAGCATGTACATCAGGTGCTTACCTCATTTTGGGTCACCACCTGCACATTACATGATGCGTATAATGTATATCGATATATGTATATACCGTATGTTACATGTACCTATGTATGTTGTTGCTAGCCGCTTAATACTTGGAAGTCACAGGCTACCTCAGAATAAGTCACCGACTTACATTAGCGTCAGTATATAGGACCTTAGGACCGTATTGATACCGTATATTCACGGTATAATTGTCTGAATAGTTGCGCATCTCAGTACGAAAGAAAGACGGTAGCCAAATCTACTAACGGTATTGCTTTACAACGGTATTTTTAAGGTTAAACGTTTTCTCGGATCAACGGTTTTTCTATTGCGAATGGTTTTTTTTAACCAACGGTCTTTTTGCGGTCCTAGTACGGTCCGGGAAGGTATAATAGGCAAAAAAAATTATATATTACATACTTAGGTAGGTACTATTATACGTACTTACCTCAAGTCAAGATACTGTAGGTAATCAAATCATTATTAAAATAGGCACTGTTTTGCTTTCGAACATATTATGGCTACAGCTACGGCTACGGCTACGGCTACGGGGTTACTATTCAAATACACTATTACATACGTACGGGCGCGTATAGCCTGTAATTACTTGGATATATAAGGTGACAATCGCGACTTCCTTACTTAATTACTTACTAGTATTACACCTTCCCGGACCGTAAAAAAACCATTCGTTAAGAAAAACCATTTGTAAGTAATTAAACCGTTTAAATAGCCAACCGACGATATACCATTTAAACAAATATCGGTTGAAATATCAAAACATTTAGGCATTCAAATAGTATAAGAGCCTTAAACGGTAGATCTACGGTCTGGTCCTTACTTACTGTAAAAGTACGGTACTTAGGCCTTATATCCTGACGCTAATGTACCTGTTGCCTGGAGTCTTAGGTCCAATCACTTTATTAACCTGGATTGCCTGCCTGCATTAAGTCAACTTTAAAACCTGAGATAACCTACTTACCTACATAGTTGACATGTGTATGACATACATGTACAGGCCTACATGCAAATCGACGTAGCTGGCCCTGCATTACCTAAGGTAAACCCGGATGCATTGTCCTTTACATCCACTTTGAGCCTTGCAAGAACCTAATAATCCCTTTTTTCTATTTTCATTATTATTACATCTCTTTCCCTAGTTTTCCCCTAGCTCGCCTGCAGTTTGATAATCTCTCTACCTACATACCCTAATACCTAACCTACATAATATTCCTTCGGGTCGTCCGGAGCGAACCATCTTCCAATCATACGACGGGGAGACCCTCAACATTCGAATGGTGATCTACTAACTGGGGTCCCGCGAAAGAAAAAAAAAAAACAGGCTTGACTCAGTCATTTCAAAAGATCTCGCAGCGCGTCCGTGTTCTATGTGAAAACTAACACTCATACATACTTCCCGTTAGCAATCTCTACCAGACTGCGCAAACAGACAGACATACACACGCAATACGTGGACAACACTCCCTTCTCCCTTCTCACTTACACCTAACCCGTCTAGACGCGTACCTAACCTTACACTCCACTACACACATCAAACTGCACCCACGGACGCAGGTACGGGTACAAGCCCCCTCCATCTATTCCCGTACAACATCCGTCCAAAATTTATTTACTCTGTCTCTTTGCTTTGGAGTACATATACCAAGTAGTCGTGAGGAGCTAGATATCAATGGCCACCGTAACTGTCTCTCAACCTGCTATCACTCCTGCGATACCGGGTCGGAACGACAGCAGTGATAGTTCTCGTTCTAGCCAGACGAGTACCGAGAAGGTCAAACTCGCCTCCTCGCTTCATACGTCATCGCTACCACAGCAACCTAGTAGTCATGATGGTCAAGGTCGGGTCGACCGCTCTGTTTCGCCCAAGAGGTGGAAGACATTCATCAAGGCCTTCAAGCACATCCACAACTTGACTCCCAAGGAAGTAGATGATTTCATGGCGTCTTATGAGATCTACAATTTGGATTGGGCCAACGAAGAGGAGATGGTCAAGGCATTCGGTCCCAACTACCAGCAGCGTGTCGGAGATTGCCTTTGTGCCTACTACTCGGTGCTCAACCATCTCTGTAGTCTCGGCGACGTGGAGAAGATGTACATCCCACCGCTGATGGACAAGAAGGCGTCGGTCCTCGACAATCAGCTACTCTACGAGGAGTCTGTCGCGAGGGATATCGGATTGAAACCGGGGATGAAGGTCTTGGATCTCGGGTGCGGCCGTGGGCGTGTAGCTGCGCATATGACGAGCTTCAGCGGAGCTCACGTAACTGGCCTAAACATCGATGCGAACCAGATTGCACAGGCAAGGGAATGGAACGATCAGTGCGGTTTCAGCAACGAGTTCGTCGTTCACGACCAGAATGACTTGCCCTTACCTTTTGCAGACGAATCATTCGATGCTTTCTACGAGATCCAAGCGCTCAGCTTATGCAAGGACCCTTCGGCTTCCTTCAAAGAGATTTATCGCGTGCTGAAGCCCGGCGCCAAATTCTCACTGATAGATTGGGTTAGCCTGCCGCCGTATAACCCGGAGGATCCTGTCCACGCGGGACTCATGCGTCGCGTGAAGCCTCTGATCGGCGCTGTCGGCACTCCGACACCGGCGAGTTTCGAGAAGGCCCTCACTGATGCCGGGTTTACCATTTCAAGATCGGACAACCCCAGTATAGGCGGCTTACAGGCTCCGCTCATCGACAAGGTCGATATTTACTTTCGCTCCGTCAGGCGCGTCATTCACGGCCTCGTTCGCTTACGCGCTCTACCACCTCATTTCAAAGTCCTCATTGATAGATTATGTCTTGACGGTCAAGCATTTGTAAAGATGGACAACATGCGATTAATTACTACGACATATCGGATCATTGCGGAAAAGCCGTCGGTATGATAAGATTTGAGAAGACAATACATAGAAACGGATCAAACGACGTTCTCAATTTTTACCACGCGGGTTTGAGGCGCAGCTATCGGCAGTCGGAAGGATCCGTCTATTTCTTGGTATGGGGCTCTCCAAACTTCACCAATGTCATACCGTCGATCCACACGCGCTCCATCCATCCATCCTATTCTTCTCGGCGAGGGGCAAAAATTATTTATAGGCGACTCGCACCTCCACCGTTCTATCACGAGAATTAGCAATATCCTTTACCATTAGCCTTCCATTCGATTTTCTGTCCCTAAAGCAACTTTTAGATTTCGGCAAAGCATTGATCGGCATTTTTAACCTTAATAGCATTCTGCATATTGCGTTGCTTTTTTTTTTGGGAGAGGAGGGGAGGGGGGAGTTCTGTTCTGCTTCGTCGCCTTTGCCTTATATCTAATACGCTACACCCTACACAGGACAGTTTAATTCTACGTTCACGAGTAAAGGTGGCCATTGGAGCAAGGGAGGAGTGGGAGTTGGTTTCGCTTCTCTTTGACTCCCGAATACCAAGTGCAGCCGGAGTTCAAATTCATTTTCAAACTGATAGAGAGCGTCATGGCGTTCGCTTCGCTTTAACACGACAAGAGTACATAGGTGGTAGTGGTAGTGAATCCAACAAATATTTCTCAACCTTTCGTTCGTCATACATAATGTTGGGAATAGGTCCTTGAAGAATTTTCCAATCCGTTGTGCCTTGCATATAATAATTGATATTTAGACTTTCTTTGAAGAGGGTCCTAGTTTCGCGTTTCGCTATTTTTTACAAAGAAATGCTGCATAATTGACCTTTATGACCGAAGAGGCGCTCACAAACATGTTTCTTATTATTCAAGTTTTCTCGCGTTTCTATTCTACTCGACCATAATAAGCCACCCGCTCGACTCCTGACCCGGAAAAAAAAACCCTCGTTTGCAAGAGGGGCGAAAATAGGAACTGAAAGTCCACAAATTGTGCAAATGACCTGAAAATCATAAACGGGTCAATTTCCGTTGATACCCAACCCCCCATATTACTCCTCTTCCCCATCCGTGCGATTCAATCGTCGTGGGTCCGCCCCCGTTTGCGGCCGCCGACGTCCTTTGTTGTGGAGTGGTGGCGGCATTCCAGGAGGGTCCGCAGACGTAGGGGGACCACACCTACGGCGCACAACCGGAGTCAAGAAAGGAAAGCGGAGATAGAACAGAAATTGTGCGGATGACATAGTTATCGAAAGCTTGCCCGAAGAAGAAAAGAATTTAGACGCGTTCTCATAGCTTTTCTAAGCTTCGAAAGCTGTTTGGTTCCTAAAGCGTTACGGCTTGCTATTTATTGTAATACTTCCTTATTCGGATTTATCCTCGCTTTGCGAGCCGTCGAGCCTGCAAGCCCCTAAGTGTTTAAAAATAATTAACTAATAGGGATTAACTCACCCATCAAACCCCAGCTATAAGCAATAGCTACTACTATATTGACTTACCTATATACTTAACTGCCTACCTAGGTACTTATTATGTCCATGACGGGAGAGACGAGTCTAAATGTTATTGAGCCCCTGGAGGGTTTCATTAGCGACGACGAAGAGCTTAAAACGCCATCAATCGGCGGCGAATCTCTTTTCGACTATTTTCCCTTTGAGGAGATCGAAGCTCCCCCACTCGTCAATCTGCCAGCTGCTACCGAATCCGAGGATCATCTTCTGCCACTTAAACTTCAATGGAAGAGTCCCAGCCAATCGGGCCTGAAAAGTCTTCCTCAAGTGCACCGGATCGTTGACTGGATTATGGGCCGAAACGTAATAATACAAGAAGATCAACCATCGGCTAAATGGTTATCCGCGGCTGGTAATGCGGGTAAGGATAGTTTGAGGGAGGGAGGCGAGGTGCATTTCAACGGGAAGCGACTAATAGAAGATGACTTTTTCGACATTGGAGATGTCAAGGATATCTGCCCCGCCTGCTCGACGCCATACTGTCAGGCTCTCGACTCCCTGCCATTTAAAAGCAGCCTGAAGCTCGGATACAACGACCCAGAGACCCATACTTGGCTCATCGGCGACAAGTATGTTATGACCGAGGAAATAGACGACGAATGGTCCGAAGAAGCGGACGTTACTCTAACCCTAGCGACGGAGCTTATCAGGAAAGCGACGAGAGTGCCCGTGCCGAGCATAATAGCTGGTTGGAAGGAGAACCGGAAGGTAATCACCATCACCGAGAGGGTTCCTGGCCAGCGGCTTTATGATATCTGGTGGGACTTACGAGACGATCAAAGGGATACGATCGCGAAAGAGGTTGGACGGCATATGGATCAATGGAGACGGATGACATCAGACAGGATTTCGACTCTCGGTGGTGGTCCTGTGCGACGTCATGGTCATCTTTTCGGTCCGTCGCAGGAAGGGTTTGGACCTTTCATGTCTGATGAGCAAGTATGGAGTGCCATTCATAGACGTCTGAAGAGGAAAAACGTCAGCAAGGACTTGATTCAAATCATGAAGGACTATATGCCAGAATCAGCATCCTGCGTCTTCACCCATGGTGATTTGTCCACTGCCAACATCATGATTCACAACGGCAGAGTTTCCGCTATTCTAGGGTTCGATAATGCTGCATGCCTCCCAGTGTGGGCTGAGTACGTGGCGATACACTTCTGCTACTGCAAAGAAGACGAACAATGGAAGGCGATGCTTAGAAGGAATATGAAGAGCTATGCTAGGGCGAAGGATTGGTGGGCGCTGTGGACTGCAGTTGAGAAGGATGCATCGAAGAAGCACATAGCCGCGCTGGTGGTTCGCTGCCGGCGGTGGCAAAAACCTCCACAGAACAGACGAACGTTTGATCCGGAATTACCCAGCGAGAAGAAACAGCAAGATGTCTCTAACTTAAACCTCATGCCAGAGCCACACCTGCAGCCACCCGGTCAGAATCACGCTCATAAAACCTACAGTCCGTATAGAGCAGCACTCAGCAGAAAACTGCTGAAGGGAAGACATTTCTCAGAGTTGCTGAATGATGTAAACTGGGAGTCAGCTGTCTACGTGGGATCAGAAGATAGTGACATGGTGGGAGTGAGCAAGGATAACTTTTCAGCTGTAACAGAGGCACAGATGCAAGGCATCGTAGGAGTAGAAGAAGATTTGGGAAGATCCGTTAAGGAAAATAGCGAGGATGAAGCATACGAAGCTAAACGTGTAGGCATTGAAAGATGGCTCTCGGAGAGTGAGAGGGGGAGGGAGTACTTTCACAGACCGTTACTCGTCCAACACATATCGAATGATAGCCAACGCATGTCTAATGATAACCAGGACACACCTCCCCAAATGAGTCCGGTAAAAGACCCCCCTTGGAGGGAAAGACAGAGGTCATTCGAGAGACGAGATAACGATTCAAAAGGCCTAAGGCCATTCAGCTTACACAGGTCTCTCTTATCAGAAACTGCCAAGCAGAACCTGCAAGAAGTTGACAAGAAAGGAGAGGATGGCGACGAGAGCGACACCCGTGAGCAATCCATCGAGAAAACTCTTCAGTCTCTAGAGTCTAGTCCGGTAGATCCCATCGTCGATGATATTACTATGACTCCTATACCGCAGCAAGGTAAAGAGGTGCAGGATAGCGTAGATATCGAGAAGAAGCGGTCTTCAATTTTCCGAGAGAAAACATCTCCCGGATTGCTATATCTGACAATCGCGAATGCGGCGGCCGAGGGAAAAAGCAAACGATATAGAAAAAGTGTCTCCGAGGAGCAAACATCGTTGGAGGAAGGCCATCCTGCCGACAAGTAGTCTTGATGACTGAATTATCTATCCCAGGTCTGATGTTCGGAATAGAAACCATGGTATGGGAAGTTCCTGTTCCGTCAAGTTCCCGATGCGCTTTAATTGGACTTAGGGAAAGGGATAATAGTTTGGTTTAATATATGAACTGAGAATAGTTCGAGGCACATCTCGCTGAAATGCTACGAGTGCCTACTTAGGTACTATTTAGTTACCTTATAATAAATGATAATAAGTATAAAGTTAATACTTAAACAATTAGGAAAGGTGGTCGGTATATAATTTTGAAGATATCTCATCGAACTCCCATTTGGTTTCTCTCATGGTTGATGGTTGGTTCTGCGTTGCGGTTGCCGAACATAGGAGGTAGGGTACCTACCTTAGGTAAACGAAGTTAGGTAAATTTCTTGGTGGAGCTGAATTTAGAGGGGTTTTTAGTGACCTAGTACATTCAATTTGCACTGTAGGCTGTAGGCCCTCTATATCGCTCCTGCCATTTATACCGATAAGAGGCTTATCGTTGCAAACGCGTTACTACCTATTCACGCGTTGTCTAGCAACGCTTCGGCTTTCAGTGCCTTAGAGAAGGTAGCATTTACGTCACTACCCGCACAACCGTTACAACTTTTATTCACACAACTATTTTATTTCGCATCTTGATCTTTATAGGTAGATACCTATTTTACGTGGTTCATCCTCAACGGCAAGGCACGTTTTGGGGAATTACATCTACCTAACCCTAGTTTTTTCCCTTTTTTTTTTTTTTTTTTTTTATGTCTTCCTCACCGCGCCTTTTGTCGGCGTGAATATTTGTGCCTTTTCTTCTTCTCTTAAATCACTGGATGAGACAACCATCCAACTCTAAGCCTATTTTATTTGACCAAGAAGAGATGCAAGCAAATGTTTAAGCCGTGATACATTTAATCAGGTTAACTATTTGGAACTGATTCAAATGTCTTCAAACCGGTAATCTTGAAGCCAGCAAAGAATACTACGGTAACATAGAGAGTGTTCAATACCCTCTCCTTCAACTCTCTTGATCTTTCTATGTGATGTGTTCTCGTTTTATGGTGGTGAATCACTTATATTATTATATAAGATGGATCACTCATTGAAGCAAGATGGCTGGGAGGATATGGATGCGTTAAGGCGGGCGTTCACAAAAAGAGTTGTACCCCCTGCACTTGAAGAGAGACTTTTGAGTTCAGAGAAGCTACGACAGGATCTACTAGAGTTAGCAACGCAAGATGAAATCTATCTCTTTATCCGCAGAGCCCAGATGTCGCCCCAACTCCGCTCACAACTTCTTGTCGAATCACCAGTTATATTGACAAACAAGACTACATGGACACCTACGCCTACAACTAGCCGTGATGGCAAGGACAAGAGTCCCCAATCAAGTGGACGCCCTCACCTTACTGGGTTACTCGGGTCTACGGTGGCTTCTAAAGGTAGTAAAACTACCTCAACGCCAATACAAATCACGGACAAGCGTGAAGCGTCTAGCCTATTAGCAAAAGACGAGCTTCCCTCAAAGAGTTCAACCTCCGCAGCCCCAGCTAAACGGGTATTCACTGCTAAGCGGACACTTCCTCCTCATTTGATTTCCAAACCCAATGTGACCCAAAAGCCGTCAGAGCCAGTCGGTAATAAGCCAGTAATTTCGGCCTCTCCCATCAGTCCCGAACCAGCTAGGATTATTAGCGATATTCTACAAACCCCTACAGGAAATCACTTGCCGTTTAGTGCTTCAAAACAAACGGAAGATGTTAAGGAGCCCCCTGCACCAAGAGCTCAACTAAGACAATCCCTAGCAGCACCCCAAACAATTCTTCAACTGGGCAATAGTTACTCACACGGTAAAGTTTAGACATAACCGGGACCATATTGGAAACTACTAACGAAAGACATAGATCCTGGCATTTCCGACAAGCAAGAGAAGGATCTCAAGAGGAAGCGAGATGATTCCCCTCCACCAGGTTAGATTTGAATAATCCAATTAGAAAGTTAAGTCCAACTCACAGTTAGTACGCAGGAGCCTCCCGGGATTCATACCCTCAAAAGAGCCGCAAGGCTAATCCTACAAATACTCCCTCCGAAACGCTTGACGCCGCGTCATCCAAGACCCATTCCGAGAATAAATTAGCGCCTGCGAATCGTGAACGCAGCATATCGAAAGGATCCCAGAAACTACGCTCAAAGGATGTTGTTAGACTTGGAGAATCTACCCATAGCCATACTAAAGACTCGACATACAATCCTACTAACTCTTCTAATAGCTTGTCAAATGATACTGAGAGTAGCAGGCTCGATACAATAAATTCTCGTATGCCTGGTACTGATGTAGTCTCTAGCATCAACCATAATCATTTAGCAAGTCACCAGCGACCACCAATTGATGAGGACAGCAATGAGGCAGACGATGACATTCCACTTAGAAAACTGATCAGCTCGGCCAAAGCAACTAAGACTGATTGGAATTACCATATCTGGACCCGTAAGTTATTTCGGTTGCCGCATAGTCTTTACAAAGACATTAACTAATTTAACTAGTTCCATCCGGAGAAACCCAGGTCACTTCCGGTGCATTGTTGCCCCAGGGCTATACCCTTCATGATAATCCTGATGCTCCGTGGATATGCCCGATACGTTCGTGTCGTGTTCTGTTCTCAAAACTTGAAGGTCTCGGGTCCCACTTCAATGTGAGTACCCTGGGTTCGGGGGTTAGCTTGATGAAGCTCACTTCGATTATAGCGTGGCCACAGAGCCTCATTCCTTAACGACAACGGGGACGGTACTCTATCTATCATTAAGAAAGTGAAGGCGATTGGTGTGGCTATGCCTGCTGAGGTAGTGTCTCACAAACCATTGGATCCCAAGGAACCTCCTTTGAAGGAACCCTCTCTCAATTCTTACTTGAAACTGTCCAAAGCTGTTACTCCATCTTCTTCTCAAGCAGGTGATAATAAGGACGGGCTTGCAAAAGCTCGCAGGTCGAGTAGAACTCTATCTGCCTCTAGCTTGTTGGGCACGGAAGCTCCCGTGAGAGAGGATGGCCCAAGGATAAGTTCACGTAGGAAGAACTCGCAGCCGGAGGTTGGTCTCGAGGTTGGTCCCCTTTCATGCGACACTCGATGAAGCAGAACCAGGTCAGCTTTGATTAGCTAACAGTAAGAAGCAGTTGGAGAAACCAGCAGCGCGTAATTTTCCAAAGGAGGAAAGTTTTACACCGCGCGGCTCTTCGCGATCCGACTCTCCCCGTCAACCTAGCATTGTTTCAAATGCCCAAAATGGAGTCCATATTGGTAGCAGAGCACATACAAGTACAAGTACCATGAATCCAGTACAAGCCCTTGAACTAGAGACGTGGGAGATTGCACCTGGTCGAATTCGTGACGAGCAGAGCGACGCGGTCGATAGTATGTAACTAAACATCTCCATCCTAGAGTAACCAATCTCGAGGGCTCGTGTTATATTTTAGGTGCCTTGCTAACTAGCCCCCAGATTTCGCGTTTTCGAATTCGTACTTAGCCCAAAACCAAGCCGTCCGGATAGGCCGCGATATTTCTTTCCAGGTCATTACCATCAAGCCTGGCACAGTTCACTTTTGGGGTTCTAGTGCCAATAAGCTCCGACTATGTTCGGTAGCGTCAGGCAAACTGCAGGTGTCTATCCACGGTCAGGACTTTTTGATGGGCCCTAATGGTATGATCAGAATCAGGCCAGGCGTTGAGTGTACTGCTACGAATAGGTTGTACATTGATGCTACTGTTCACGTTACGACAGTACCTGGGGATTTATGTGGATGAGTTGGAGGTTTTGAGATTTCATAAAGTTAAGATCAGCTCATTGATATCAAACAGCTATCGGTCGAGTTGATATCATGCCCATTGAGTTTCGGGGAGTTACAGGTACTGAATGCATGCCGTCGCACAAACGTCTACCATGATGACAGACGAAACTATAGCTAGAATAGGGGCCCACCCCGCAAAGATGTACATAGCTATTGCATAGTGCACTACAAAGGGGAACTTTATACATGCTTGATTGGTGCTTTCAATTAACAAGCTTTGTAGTAGCAAAAAATGGAGTAGGTATTTATTATTAATTGCTCATGCTAAACTTGAACAATAACACTCCCTAGGATTTCCTCTTCAAAACAACCCCCTTATTAGCTCTGAGCAGATGAAGATCTATATGTAATCTGAGCGTGTCTATGCTTATATATACTCTATCAAGAAAAGTGATCAAACGAAACAAGCAGGGATTAATTCTCGACACCTCAACTGGGCTCCGATTTTAAGAGACGTTGGCGATGACGAAGTCGGGTTCGCCGCGGTAGAAGGTGGCTACGGTGGAGCCGAAGTTCTCCAGGGGGAACTCGGTGGCGGGCCACTCGTGGAAGCCAGCGACCTTCTTGGGGCTGTCGTAGGCATAGGTCACGACGACACGGTAGCGGCCCTCGGTGCCGGGCTGCGACGGGTCCTGGTGGAACTGCCACTCGAAGGCTGGGTCATCGCAAGCTCGGAGAGATACCGAAGGGAGCTTCGAGACGGATGATTGGTCCGAGTACCCACATGTCGTGGAGACGGAGGTGTTGGGGATGGCGACATCGAAGGAGATGCTGGTGCGAGTGTTAGTATTTAGTGTTGTACTTTATAAGGGGTTGGAAAGGGGGGGCTTACAAGGCTCCGGTCCCGTGGGGCAGGGTGTTGGCGCTGAAGTTGGTGATGTCGAATTCAGTCGGAGCTTCGACTTGTCTCTCGGTTACGGGGGCTCCAAAGACGGAGGCGGCTCCGAGGAGGAGGGATGAGAGGATAGAGACGGACTTCATGTTTGCTTGTTGGTTGGTTGGTGATGGCACTTATAGTTTAAGTGAGTAGGTTATTAAGAGTGATGATGAAGATTATATATCTTTGATGTTGTTGTTGGTTGGTTGATGGATGGATGGAATTATTTCTTTGACGAGAGCAGCGATGAACCGTATTATTATATACACGTTTACCTCACCGTACCTCTCGTGGCAGTGCTGCTATATCTTACAGTGCCTCACAATCCCGTATTCGCTGGCTTACGATGCTTAGTCTTTGGCTTGGCGCCGTAGTGAGGCGGTGGAATGAAGTCATGCCACATAACACAAGCACCGCAAATTCCGATCCCCACGGGCATTCTGGGTTCCGCACGGGTCGCTTTAAGCTATAATTTTATGTTTAATTCCCATACTCTCGGCGCCGGAACTGCTGCTGCGAATTTCGCTTTGTTATTGAGCTCGGCGAGTAGCGGGATACTTGACGATACTCGATACTCGATACTAGATAGTTAGACGAGAGCGCACCCTTACTTTGGTAGTTTTACTCCCTTACTTTGTTTAATTTGGCCTAAACGCAGCAAACAATCCCTCCACTAGTTGAGCGGTGGCCCGTAAAGCCATCCAACTAAATCACCTTGTGATGGCAATAGCGATGGCATCAGCAGTTTGCTTGAGAAGAAAGGAAGGGAGCTGCTGGGTACACGTAGTTTAGCTAAGACTTCTAAAGATAGGGGGCTTTTTAGTATGTATCGGGTAGTTTTCGTAGGGCTGCAGCATGTGGAATCTGAGTCGGCAGCTAAGGAGGTATAGGTATAGGTTAGGTACCTAACCTACTATAGCGGCAAAGGGTGGTTTTGAAAAACGGTTCCTTAACAAAGTACCGTACCTCCTATATATATTATTTATTAAAGAGGTAACGTTATTTTTTAAATAATTGTTACCTGGGCAACCACCGTTTTTTTTTTAAAAATCGTTTTTTTTTTAAAAATTGTTTTTTTTTTAAAAATTATTTTTTATTAAAAATTATTATTATAATAAAAATTAAATTTATTAAAAAAATTATTTTAA